TTACAAATTTGAATGGTTTTAAAGGTTCTTTAGTATTTAAATAAGTATTTTAGGACATAACAGCAAAATTCTTATTTACTCAAAAAATATTCATACCAAAATCCCCTTGTAGGAGGTAGGTGGTTCTAAATTTGTGATTAAATGAGCGTAGAATTTTCTATTTTCTATCTTCTGTATAGCAAATAGAAGTATGATATATATAATATGTATGTATTTGTAAAATATATTATAAAATATTTGTATAAAATATATATACTAATATTCTATGAACAGAATATTTGAGAGCTAGGGTAGAGTATGCTAATTAAAATGGAACTTACATGTGAAAGTAACATGAGATTTTTTTTACCCATTTTAACTGAAATATAAGTAATGGCCTCTTAGGTGTGTGTTCTGTGGTTGCTATGGATGACCTCATATTCAGACATTCTTTGGAAAAGACCTTTGAATACAGATTGGTAAAGTACCTCTCATTTAGACCACTGGAATAAAATGCATCACATCATTTTCCAGCCATGTCTGCCTGTCAAATGAAATATATTTGTTTGTAAGGCAACAAACAAAAAGCCTCTCTCAGCATGTACAATTTTCCACTTCAGTTTGTGGAAAAGAGGACCATGTTGAAATCATTTGAGGTGTGGTATAGGTTGGTCAGTCTTGGAAATCCAGAGGGAGGGTGCCCAGTGCATTGTTACCTTTCACGTGTTGTTTTTCAGGAGATGGCTTTAATCAGTCATCATCTCACATATGGTTTGAAAAAGGCTTGTCTCACTGGCAAGCAAACTGTTATTTAAGTACACAATCCACTCTACTACTGAAACAGTTTTGCCAAACTTATCCAAGTATTCTCACATGCTTAAAGATGATATAAATATCATTTGTTGCTAGCAGTTTTCTTCAGACTATATGGAATGTCTTCCTGCTGCCTGCTCTAAGTGTCCCAGTTTACATTATGGCCTTTACTGCCTCTGTTTGACGGAGTGATCAGTAAAAATTTAATGACACTATAAAATAATAAAAATGTCATTAATTTACCACGGATCTTGGATGCAGTGGTTGTAAAATTACATTAATAAACAGAATATTTTTTTTTACAACAAAAAGCATTGTTACGTGGGAACACATAAATAACACACATAAATTTAAGAGCAATTTTACTGTTAGCACACACATTATTATGGAATAGCCAGTAAGTGTATAAAACATAGTATATAAAATTTTATTAAAATATACTGTGCAGGGCTTCCCTGGTGGCGCAGTGCTTGAGAGTCCGCCTGCCGATGCAGGAGACGCGGGTTCGTGCCCCGTTTCGGGAAGATCCCACATGCCGCGGAGCGGCTGGGCCCGTGAGCCATGGCCGCTGGGCCTGCGCGTCCGGAGCCTGTGCTCCGCAAATGGGAGAGGCCACAACAGTGAGAGGCCCGCATAACGCAAGAAAAAATATATATATATACTGTGCACATCAAAAATTCAGCTTTTATCTAAGTGCAAAGAAAAGCCATTATTATGTGCTTACTGTTTCATTGCTGTTCTTTCCCCATATCACATTTTACATTTGTTGCCAGTAAGAGGGAGTTGATTTTTTTTTACTAGATGAAAATAAACCTCTGTTTTTTTAGTTATCCCAAATTCATTCTCTCTCTCCACCGATGCAAAGACAGAAATGATCAATCTTGCCATGGTAGGGAGGGAAAAGTTGCTAATTTAATGCAAAGTTAAAAATAATGCCTGAGGAGTTGAATGGTTTGTTCAGTGACACTGGAAATAAGGGATAATAATGCAGCAGTCTATCTGTCATCAGTGAGGCTGCCCCGTCATTGACTCTGATAATATGTGAAGATGATGAATGCTACCGTCTTGTGGCTTGTAACATTTAACATTCATCAGCTCTCACTAAAGGGGGCTTTATCATTTAAATATCTTTATTTAATATGCAACATCTACCTCATACATCATAATTTCAAAGCACTTAGAGAGCCAACAGTCCTACAACACAGCAGAGCTGACTTTAATTTTTTTCAATAACTTTTATGTTGCCTGCATGTTTGTGACTGACAGTGCATAAGTAAGTGTCCGATCACATCACTGCATGTAAAATGCACATTTCACTGTCATCATGAAGACTGGAAAGTTTTCCTGCCTGGAAGGGGTTGAGATTAAAATTAGCATTGAGGTGTTTTGTTTATATCTCCAAAATATCTACTTGGGAGCTATGTAATTTGCGAGAGCTAGTTCAAGTGCATGGAAAACTTCTAGTTAAGAGCTTGCCACCCACTGTCTGTGTTTTCCGTATTGGGGCATACCCATTGGCACTTAATGGCCAGAAGTTGAGGGCCTCTTGGAACTAAAGTATCTTTGAAATTCTCTCTGTGCCTCTGTCCACATTCTGTATTTACTAGGCTCATGTTCAACCTCACTGGTAAAATCTTTGCTTAGCTCAGCTCAGCTGCCCAGAGCTAACTTGTAGACATCAGACCCTCTTATCTTATGGTTATGTGGCTGGCAAATAAATATTCTGAGCTATTCTTTGAAGAAAAGAAGGAAATCTTCTGGGAGACTAGGTAGAAATTTATATGAAAGGGCATGGCTTTGCAGGGTCCTTCTTTAATCTCAAACACAAGTGCTTAATATTACCAAATATGAAATGCAGCCCACTGCCCAAAACAATTTTTATCATTGATTTATTTTCTGCCTATTTAACAAGTGTTTCATGGGATATTCTTCCTCGACTTTTACTCTGTCAAAATATTGATATTTTATAAGGAAAGTATCTCTGCAGAATAATTTTTTTTTCAATGAAGTCAGAAAAATGTATGACTTCAAAGACACTGTGAATGTGTTGTTGAATGTTCTGAATGTTTTTTGTTATGATTAAAAACAAGCTGATACTACTGAATTGTGAGTGCACTTCACTTTTTATAAACGAAAAGGTATTATCATCATGTAAGCTTTGTTGTCTTAGGATTTTACAAACCATGGCATGTAATTTTCCCTCTTCTCCTTCCTTGTCAAAATATTGATATTCTTTCAGGAACTTTATTTATTTATTTTTTACTGAGAATATTTTCCGGTAAAATCAAAGAGAATGAATGACTAGAAAGATACTTGAAATATGCATATTGATAGGTAGCACAGTCTGTTGATTTTCAGAGAAAGTTGTTTCTCCCCCCATGAAAATACAGATAAAGGTTGTTCTTCCAAGAAGATTGCAGGTGTCACATCAAAACTCCTTCTGCATTTAACATAGGGAAAGCATTCACATGCAAATATTTGAAATGCGAAACAATGTGATAAAACAAAGGTTGAATATTTTGCTTTCCCTGGTACTGCTTATTTTCACTTTAATTCTTTTTCTTTACATCATGACAACCAAAAGTGCTACTCAAAAATAGAAATTGGCTGATTAAAAACAGCTGTCCTCCCCCCTACAATGTGTGAAACTCTCGTCTGGCTTGTGGTTGCTCTTTGTTGTGGCCTGCATCTGGGTTAATTTGTTCTTGTGCAGCGGCAGTGTCACATAAGAAGATATTGGGGAACCATACCTAATTTGCTTTTTATTTTCACTCTGTTTTTTATAAGTGTGGTGTTTCAGAGGTTTCCCCACATACCGCTATTGTAACTAGTTAGTATTACCCGGTTGGGGAAATTCATGATTATAATTTTGTTGCAGTCTTTCATAGAAATGTTGCTAGATTAAAGCAAGGTTTATGCTGTGTTTTCTTCCAACACAGATTTCAACATATTCCATGATGAAGGGGAACTGGAAGACTTCCTGCACAATTTGACTGATGGGAATTAATTATAGAAATATAATGATATTCAAAAATAATCATATTAGAAAGCACAAATGTAGTGAGACTGTACAAATGAGACACAGCCTCTATCAAGTAATTGTATGTTTGCTCTTTAAGAATATTTCCAAGTTTCTAAACATCTTACAGAAGAGAACACTCAGAGTGTTTCCGTCTGATGCCGAACATGCCTAGTACAGAACTAGGTCATTGAACAATAGACTGAACAGCAATCAGCGCTCTACTGCTGCATAATGCATTAAGTATAACATGCAGAAACCATTCCCGGAGCTGGAAGCTGCTATTTCATGTCTGTAAATTCAAGCTGACATGACATTTAATGTTGTTTCATAGTAATGAGCAACAAGGTTTCATTCATTCATAAGCGCAACACAAAGCCAAGTTTGAGTCTGGAGAGTAGCAAGGAGGAGAGAAGGGCACACGTGCTGTGCTTCTGCAGACAGGAACACCATGTTAATTATGATCGATGAGCCCTCTGCTACTGACCCAGAGAGCTACAGGAGGAGAGTTCACTGTGGTGTTTCAGACTCCTGATCCCAGAAGAACAGGTTAACAGTTAAAGCATCTCTGTGTTTCCCTACTATAATGGCAAGAGTGTTTAACTTCCCTGACTCAAGGCCTGACTAGGAGTAATGTTCTCCTTTTCACTTACCAGGAAGTTACAGTTCGAACTCCTCAGCGAAATAATAGTATCAAAGCCATCATCTAGTCTGCCTGCTTTGAAATATTTGTTTTTGAAATCTTCTTGCCTAAAATTCTGATTCGTATTTTTCCAGGAGTACCAATGCAAACTGTGATCTCTCAAAAGGAAAATCCCTCTCCCATTGAATAACAGTATATTTTAATGGAAACTGCTCTTTCAAATTTTGCAGTTTTGGCTCACACCTTTCATTTGCGTTCCTTTTAGAATACTGGAGCAAATCCAACAGAGAGATGTGCAGTACAGCCCTGGCAGGTTACCTGCCACAGGTTTCCTTTCCTTATAGGTACTATGGTTTAGGTGCTGTCAACACTGTCAGTGCCATAAACAGGCTTTAGTGGAATCTTCCTGAAAGGTTTTCTGAGCTCAAGTTGGTCAGAAATGATGTTTGTAAATCCAAGTTTTGTCCATTAAGAAAGATAGAAACTGGAAGGAAAAAGTGGCTGCTTTGGAAGCTAGTATAAGTCTCTGATTATTCTTTCCTCTAGGAAAGAACACGCTTTGAAAATTTGGGGCCCCAGTTAACAGGAAAGTCAAGTGAAGATGGAAAGCTGGGCCCAGGTGTCATCGATCTTACTCGGCCAGAAGATGCAGAGGGTGAGTGGCTTTTCTGTTCTGCTGCTCTGTGTGTTTCTAGACGTGTGCCTGAGGCAGATGTAGGATCTTCATGGTCTTTCTTGGGGGTCACCAGATCAATTTTCTTGGCAAACCAGAAAATGTTAGGCTTCATTATATGTTATAGTTGAGGACTTTGAAATTCAGCTAGATTGTGTGTTACTGAACACATAGCAATCCAAATACTTCAAGGTGCCATTTTAAAGTTTTAAAATAAAAGAACCCTCTACATTTCAATGAACAACAGAATTCTGTGTTTCATCCACCTCATGACATTATTATTAAAAAAAAAAAAAAAGGGACAAACATACAAAGGAGGATTTTTTACCCCCAAATCAAGTGATTCCCAGGTGCAATCAAACCGTTTTGGAAACTAAATTATAGTTTGAAGCAGATCCAGCATAAAATTAATAATTGCTTGGGCAAGGCCCAGCCTGTGTCTGGGTACTAACCGTTATAAAGTCTTTTGAAAGTCAGGATGGAAAAGACTAGCTTTACTCTCAATGTGTTTACCCACAGCACCATCAATGCCTGTCCGCTCCTCTTTCTTTTCTGTTCGTTTGTTTTAAATACACAAGCAGCAAAACAGCAGAGATTGCTCCCCAGAGGCTGTTTACAATCTATGAGTTAAGTCAGCACTTTAGTAGTAGCGTTGCCTGGTTATTTACTGTGTCATCCCAGAGTAGGGACTGGTCTTCCCGTTAGCTGTTCCTGTGTCAGAATCCCTCCCGCCAGCCAGGGAAGATTATTTGTTCTCTTTAGAGTAACACAACACTTCATCCATCTCAGGTCCCAGCTAAAGTCCTTTAGCTTGAGGGGAAAAATCTTACTATTATCCCTTTTACTGGCAGGATTCCTTCCAGGACCCTAATCCCTTGAAAACACATGAAGACATTTCATAGCAGCATTTGAACTGAGCATGGCTTCTAGTGATAGCTTGGGGCCATCCAAGGCAGTTCAGAAATCCCTGGCATGAGCACTAAGAGATGGGTAGTATCAGACATTCGGAAGTACTCCAGAGAGTTTTCAGGAGGCAGGTTTTTCATGCCAGTGGGAGAGACTAATGTTTAATGATAGTCCTGGGGATGAGGTGTTAAAATAAACTCTGATTGGTATGTGCATGTGTGAGGGGAGTGGGGAAGGAAGGGAAGGGAAGAGGAAAAGGAAGGGGGGGGGAGCAGGAAAGGAGGAATAAAGAGGACTCAAAACCAGAAATAGACTCACTGTCTTCCATGCAGAATGTGTACTGAGAGCACGGTGACACTGACATTTTTATAGGCACTAAGAAGTACATGATTCCCCCCTGGTGAGGATTGAGGTTCCGTGGTCTAGGGAACTAGTTATTCAGGTGTGGCACATCTCAATTTTGTTGGACGATGGTACTACAGAGTACCTAAATCTTCGACCAGACACAGTGAAATAATACTTTTCATCACTTTGGAGTATTCAGTCTGTTAATTTTTCCGTAGACTAGGAGTTACAGAGTTCTATTGCCTTATCCTTGTTCTAACAGAGTTTTCTTAATCTGTCATTCAGCTTTCTTCACTTACTTCTTGTTTTTGTTTTTGGTTTTGGTTTTCTTTTGCGGTACGCGGGCCTCTCACTGCTGTGGCCTCTCCCGTTGTGGAGCACAGGCTCCGGAGGCGCAGGCTCAGCGGCCATGGCTCACGGGCCCAGCCGCTCCGCGGTATGTGGGATCCTCCTGGACCGGGGCACGAACCCGTGTCCCCTGCATCGGCAGGCAGACTCTCAACCACTGCACCACCAGGGAAGCCCTTCACTTACTTCTTAACTGTACAATAAGTATAAAGTCATTTGCCTCTCAGTAATGCTAATAATCTAGTTGATGATATCATGTGCTTGGTAAGTTAAAAATCATGGTCAGAGTTATTAACCATTATGAAAAGAAAAAGTGAAAAGCTTAACTGTAGAGAAACATACTGTATAGAAAAATCTGTGGAACTTCCATTCAGTATCCAGATTGTCTGGATTCAAACCAATTTCCTAGTTACTCTGCTTTTTTTAAGCAAACATTTATCAAGCATTTATATGCCAGAGAATACACTAAGCTTTTAACACATGTTTTCTCATTTAAATCATATACAACTCTGTGAAGAAGGTATTTTTTTTTCCCATTTTACGGATGAGAAAATTAAGGCTGAGAATAGTTAAGTAACTTGCCACAGGTCACATAGCTAGTAAGGGTAGAGCTGAGAGTTGATCCCAGGCAGCCTGGCTCCAGAACCCAAGCCATGAGGTACTGTGCTATCCTGCACCCCCTGTATATACAGATGCAGAAGTGGTGCCTTCATTTTTCTGAACAAACTCCTTGTGACCTTCCTCAGTATGGCCCATTTCCTCTCCCCTAAATATAGCAAGTCATGCCATGCGCCAGCTCTCGTATTACTCTGTCGCACATAGCAGCAATGCCTGATGACTGTAATAGTAGGAGGGCTGTAGTGGCCGAGGAGCTTAAGGAGCATGTGAAAACCTCCCTTCAGAAGCTTGCCCAGAGTTGCCATTGAGCCCTCGTGTGCTTTTGGGGGACTGAGTTCATGAATGGAGTCAAGTTACCTGCTCTAAAACCAACAGAAGTGCAGTGCGTTTGTGAGGACTCTGCTGGGATGCGCAGCAGCCTTCTGCTGACTTCAGGATATTTCCTGGCATCTGTTCAAGCGTAAGCTGATTGCAAAGCCTGCTGGAGTTGCAGTTCGTATTAAAGTCAGAGTAGATAACAGGTACAAATACTTTCTCCACTTTGCTCCTCCATGTTTCCCTTAAGAGGAAGAGGAAGAAGGAAATGAAGTGAAAGAATACCTAAAAAATTTATTCACTCCTTCAGTCAGTCTTGGTCTAAAAACAAACAAACAAACAAACAGACAGACATTTCTTGAGTGCCTGTTCTGTGTGCCGGTCCCTGAACTAGACACTGGATAAACCAAAGGAAGCAAAACAAATATGTTCCTGACCTCTTGGAACTTAAAGTCTAGTGAAGAAAGACAGAAGATTAAAAGGGTAATGCATGCATAGATACATAAGACAGATATAACTATCACTGAGAAAAGTACTAAGAAGATCAAGACTTCTTTGTTCCTCACAGAGGTTCAGGGCGAAAGCTGCTTCGGTAAGCTCCATTGGCAGGTAAGTTTTGTAGCTCTCTCACCCAGGATGTCATCCCTTCTTAGTCCGCACATGATCATCTCCATGCTTCCTCTGGCTTTGGACCAGTTAAAATCTTTTTCCAGCTTTATTGACATATAATTGACAAATAACATTGGTGCAGATTTAAGGTGTACAATGTGATGATTTGATACACGTATATATTGGGAAATTATTACCACAGTAAGGTTAGTTAACACCTCTGCACCTCACAGAGTACCTTTTTTTTCATGAGAAAATTTAAAAACTACTCTGTTAACAACTTTCAAGTATATAAGACAATATTTTTAACTATAGTCACCCTGCTGTATATTAGATCCCCAGAGCTTATCCATCTTTATAACTGGAAGTTTGTACTCTTTGACCAACATCTCCCCATTTCCCCCACCGTCTAGTCCCTGGAGACCACCATTGTACTCTCTGTTTCTATGACTTCAGGCTTTTTAGATTCCACATATGTGTGAGATCATATAGTATTTATCTTTCTCTGTCTGACTTCACTTAGCGTAATGCCATCAAGGTCATCCATGTTGTTGCAAATGTCAGGGTTCCCGTCTTCCCTTTTATGGATGAATAATATTTTTATCACATTCAAAATAGGTATATATAACTATATAACATATTATGTGATATATGTAATACATATCATTTATCACATGAATTTATATATATGTATATATAAAACAGTCTCTTTATCCATTCATCTGCTGACGTATACTTAGGTTGTTTTCTGTGTCTTGGCTATTGTGAATGACGCATAATGGCAGCTTTAAGGGGCTATGCCCTTCTTCTCCTTGCACCCCATTCTCCTGTGTGGCTTCTGAAGTGACTAAAGTAAGCCTGGCTTTCCAGGAAAATGTCTGCTGCCAGTTGCGAAAATGTCAATATCACTTAGTAAGCAACTTGTAGACCTGCTTCATAGCTTTGAACATGGAAGCAGCAAGGGAAAGGTCACCAAAAGAGACAGCTGTGCGTGTGTATTAACCACTCATCAAAATCAAATGACAAAACCGTAAGCCAGGAAAACAGAAATTAAAAATATAAAAGGCAAATGTCTTCAAAATTTTATTTTTAAAGTCCAGCTGTTATTTGGCTTGAATATGACAAGACAGCATTTCTTGTTCACCACGATATTTATAAAACTACAAATTCTTCGGTGCTGGGGGCTTAGGAAACATGTTTAAGGTCTTGTTATACTTTGGAGCATTTGTTGGCTTTATATGTATTGAGCGCACAAAAGTCGTTAGCTCCTGTGTAGGGCATGTAAGGAAGAGAGGACTCAATTAATTGAGTCTGTCACCACGTATTAAGAATGACGAACAGATTTTAACTTTTTATGGACTTTTCATACGGTGTTTCCCCTCTCCTTGTTCTCCTTAGGCAAGAGTGCAATTCTTATCCCAACCCTCCTAATTTCAGGGTTGCAAGGTATAGTAGAAAGGGCTCTGGTCTGGTTATTGGGAAATTTGGATTAAAGTTCCTTTGCTAAACGAAGGCAAATAAGTGACGAATGCCCCGGGCTTAACTTTATCTTTTAAAAGAGGTATGTTGGATTCCATTATTTCTAGGGTCCCCTCCAAGTGCAAGATTGTTATTAGGGTCTTCATGAAACATAGAGTGTGTTTATTACAAGAAAGGTGATCTGTCCACAGTAGCTTTCACTTGGTTTTTTCTTCAGAGAAATAAAAGAGGAGACCAATATCTTTGAGAGTATATTTGTACCACTTGCTGAATCGAATTTTCAAGTCTTTTCTTTTTTTTTTTTTGTGGTACGCGGGCCTCTCGCTGTTGTGGCCTCTCCCGTTGTGCAGCACAGGCTCCGG